GCTTTACTGTTGTGAAGTTGCAAGCATAGTTATATTTTGGCATGTTATTTAAAGCATTGACCTTTAACCCTTCATCTCTTGAGTAGTATCTTAAGGCAAATGAAAACATTGTCGTCTCTGATGACTACTTCAGACTTCAAATTTACGTGTAGCACTAAAAAATAGGAGGGAAACAGATTTCATTTATCAATTTGAAAGGAAAAGTTTGTAAGCCAACTTTGACATCTCAGTACAAAAACATTTTTTGAAACAATTTTTTTAGGAACCTTGTATAGCCCACTAAAGTAGATTATAGATAGAAACTTTATTAACATGTCAATGAACCTTCTAGTTTAGGAGATATCCCATACTAATGTGGGGACTGTGTGAATAGCCAATTAAATTATTTTATTAGGGGACTCCTGAAATATTTTTTGCAGTGAAATATTATCCTGGTTCTTGATTCATTGCAAAAAACATCTCCTACTTTCAGTTGCATATAATGTTGATCTTAATAATGCCAAACATCTCCATAAAAAAGTAGAATGTGATTGGGGAAAGATAAAATGAAGCAACAAATAAAACAAATTCCACGAGGACAGACAAAACAATCACCCTGAAACATCATCTCCCTAAACAATGTTGAATGAACAAGTGAACATTTTGTAACACCAAGCAAGATTAAAGTGGGAGAGAGGGAGAAATAAGTGAAAGCTTATGGATAAAATTCCAAAAGGAGTAAAGCATGCCAAGACTTTTGCCACTTGATCACAGACTGCAGTTTTTATGCAAGTGTCTTCTTGAGGATATGATAGACCTTCGAAGGCCAATTTTTTTTGTTTTCTATTTTTCAAGTCAAACTAAGCATTATCATGTTAACTACACTTTATGAGAAACATTTTGGCTTAATGTTGAAATGCACACAAATTTCAACGTTTTTGGGAATTAGATTCCCAAAAACGTATTTCAAAGTGACTTCCTTAGTCTGCTAAATTGTGAATAATTTTGATATATCAACAAAGTTGAAATGGTAAATTGGCCACCGTAATGATTACAAAAGCTGACGTTTCGAGCGTTAGCCCTTCGTCGGACGCTCCGACGAAGGGCTAACGCTTGAAATGTCAGCTTTTGTAATCGTTACGGTGGCCAATTTACCATTTCAACTTTGTTGATATATCAAAATTATTCACAATTTAGCAGACTAAGGAAGTCACTTTGAAATACGTTTTTGGGAATCTAATTCCCAAAAACGTTGAAATTTGTGTGCATTTCAACATTAAGCCAAAATGTTTCTCATAAAGTGTAGTTAACATGATAATGCTTAGTTTGACTTGAAAAATAGAAAACAAAAAAAATTGGCCTTCGAAGGTCTATCATATCCTCAAGAAGACACTTGCATAAAAACTGCAGTCTGTGATCAAGTGGCAAAAGTCTTGGCATGCTTTACTCCTTTTGGAATTTTATCCATAAGCTTTCACTTATTTCTCCCTCTCTCCCACTTTAATCTTGCTTGGTGTTACAAAATGTTCACTTGTTCATTCAACATTGTTTAGGGAGATGATGTTTCAGGGTGATTGTTTTGTCTGTCCTCGTGGAATTTGTTTTATTTGTTGCTTCATTTTATCTTTCCCCAATCACATTCTACTTTTTTATGGAGATGTTTGGCATTATTAAGATCAACATTATATGCAACTGAAAGTAGGAGATGTTTTTTGCAATGAATCAAGAACCAGGATAATATTTCACTGCAAAAAATATTTCAGGAGTCCCCTAATAAAATAATTTAATTGGCTATTCACACAGTCCCCACATTAGTATGGGATATCTCCTAAACTAGAAGGTTCATTGACATGTTAATAAAGTTTCTATCTATAATCTACTTTAGTGGGCTATACAAGGTTCCTAAAAAAATTGTTTCAAAAAATGTTTTTGTACTGAGATGTCAAAGTTGGCTTACAAACTTTTCCTTTCAAATTGATAAATGAAATCTGTTTCCCTCCTATTTTTTAGTGCTACACGTAAATTTGAAGTCTGAAGTAGTCATCAGAGACGACAATGTTTTCATTTGCCTTAAGATACTACTCAAGAGATGAAGGGTTAAAGGTCAATGCTTTAAATAACATGCCAAAATATAACTATGCTTGCAACTTACACAAAATTGGGTAGAGGATAGATATTTGCATATGTAGTTCATGGCCATGTGACAAACCCTCACTATATTTTTGTTCTATTTTCTTTTGTTTGCAACCTTCAGTTCCTCTCATATGTAACTTGTTGGAAATATGAAGTTCTGTTACAATGAAAATCACTAATACAGCAGGCATATCCCTATGAAAGGTCAAAATGTTTGTTCGACATGAATGTTCGAGTCACAAATATCCGTGCAGAAAAATTTGGAGCCTGACAGAGCCTGAATATGGCCTGGTTCCAGCCTGGTTACCAATCATGGTCAAATTTGCCGCGATTGGCGAATAAAATCGCAAAGAGTGTCGCCAGCTTTACTTCCGCTTTTCACATATTTTGATCTCTCAGGTTCTGCCTAAGAATGATTAAAACTATAAGGAGAAGTAGGAGAAATCGAAATTAGAGGGAACCGAGAATATTTTATGGGCAACAATTTAGGGCTTGTCATGTCAATCCTAATCCTTCAGAAACGGAAAAATCTCCAGACATAATTTCTCATTTACATAAAGTAATTTTGTACTTTTAAATTGAAAGGCCTCAGTAGGTTCTGAGTTTTAAAACAGAGTATCCTTCGAGCGTGTTAGTTCTTTCCATTCCAGATTTTACCCAAATATTCTTTAACCAATCAGAATCTCCATCAAAAACGCCATCATCGTTACACCCTTGTAATGAAGACCATCGAGTTTAGTTTACTTATCGTTGGGCATCAATGACACTCTAAAATGATTCGTCATTTGAAATTTATCTTTGTATGAATTTCGCTTATACCTCAACTCACAGGTATTTCAGTTAACCTGAATTTGTTCTGATATTTTCAGTGTCTGCTTTCTTCTTTCGTATCAGACCTCAGTCCAATACAATGCTTTATTTGGATTAATTTTATACTGATAGCAGCAGATTGTTGAACCTTTTAGAATGTGTACGGTGTTTTATCAGAGGAAAGCCATTCTTGTTTTAATGAAATCGAAAGCATGAATTGTTGTGATATAACAGCGATCTGATGCGTTCTCCTTCAGATGGCGGAAGTGTCAGGTGGTATGAACCTATTCCGGTTAAAACATTATCGGATTCAGCTGAAGTGCTCCCCCCTGTCATTGTATCGGCTAATGAAGGGGAACCAACCACACTGAACTGGAATTACAGTTTGACGTTAGGTCTAGCTTTTGGTAACCTAAAATTCAACAATGATGGCATTGTGACTGCTGCTGACGATAAAGCTAATGGAGAATTTAGCTGCAGTTTAATCGATGGTTATTCTCATACTTGGAAAAGAGCAATTCAAGTGCAAGTCCTAGGTAAGATTAAAAGTGTTGCTTAATTTTGACTTCTAGAGAGGCACAGTCCTCGACTGTGGAATCCACATTGTCATTTATGGCTTAAGTTAAAGTGTTAGAGTTTGACTCAGCGCATAGAAATTCAACAATAATAATAATTATTGTTATTATTAATCCTTTCAACGAACTCATTTAATTAATTGCATCATGGACTCTATGTTACTTAAATGCTGTGCATGACAAATCTAATCCTAAGGTAGTTTTCAATGGCACAATTTACTGTTGTAGTAGTTGCCATGTGTCCGATACTGTTTGGGGTCTGCAAAAGAGCAAAAGATCCTATGTGGAAGAAACAAAGAAAAGTCAGTAATGAAGATGGCTCAAAAATTAGGATAATGAAAATAAATAGATAACTCATTGGAGGGTTAATTAAAGGGATAAAAAATTCTCTCATTGCAAACGCATGCCGTATTCGTGACAACATTAGGGACTTTAAGCAGTCACGAAGGCAACACCACGGAAGGCGTCGATTAAGAAATGAGTTTCTACTTTTAGTTAGAATTTCGAAAATGGCTGCATGTGTTTACCGTCTCATTGGGCGCCAGACCTCAAACTCAACGTAATGCATAAAAGTAGCGTTGAGTTCCAAATGTAAATTAAAACAATTTGCCGCCGCGGTTTCACTTCGCAGACGATGCAAATTTTGGTGATTTCACATTGTTGTTTTGCAAAGGATGGCTACGAAATGTACAAAATTTCAAAACGGACGTGCTGTGCTATTGTTCTGGCAATTAGATCTTTTGTTTTTGCACGTTCTCGTTGCTGTCATGAACCATTGTGGTTTGCTTAAAGTCCCTATTGTGATAAAACAAATTATCATATAAATAATTTGGATATATCAACAAAGTTGAAATGGTAAATTGGCCACCCTAACGATTACAAAAGCTGATGTTTTGAGCGTTAGCCCTTCGTTGGAGCTAACGAAGAGCTATTTAAATAACATGCCAAAATATAACAATGCTTGCAACTTGCACAAAATTAGGTAGAGGATAGATATTTGCATATGTAGTTCATGGCCATGTGACAAACCCTCACTATATTTTTGTTCTATTTTCTTTTGTTTGCAACCTTCAGTTCCTCTCATATGTAACTTGTTGGAAATATCAAGTTCTGTTACAATGAAAATCACTAATACAGCAAGCATATCCCTATGAAAGGTCAAAATGTTTGTTTGACATGAATGTTCGAGTCACAAATATCCGTGCAGAAAAATTTGGAGCCTGACAGAGCCTGAATATGGCCTGGTTCCAGCCTGGTTACCAATCATGAGCAAGACATTGACATGACAATTAAGAGCCAGACAAAAAAATTCTCTGTCTCTCAACTGATGAGCTGGACAAATGTTACACTCTTTTACGGCCTATAACCAGCCAAACAAGGCTGACAAGAGCAGGACAAGAGCCTGACAATGACCTTTACACATTTTTGTGTGGAAATGCACTACTTACCAATTGATGTACCTGATTTCAGAGCCCGATGAGAAACTGCCATAAGTCAGACAAGCAATGTTTCTAAAAGACAGTTATTATCTTGTCGATACTGCTCGAAACTTCGCCGTCACATGCAATCTTTAGTCTACCTCTGTCGGTTTTCTTGACACAGACAAGTTATTATGTGTTTATATGTATTGGACATCTAATAGTTGGTCCTAATCTAGGAGGCCTGTAGCTATCAAATGACTTAAAAAAGAACATTAATTTTAACTCAGTGTTTAGGGTAGAGCTTTGAGTGTTTACAATTCGCAGGAAGGGGGTCAGGGAGAACAACGCCACATGATCCTTTTAAAAAATGCAGTAGCCTAGAAAACAAGTCCTGTCCTAATTAAGGAGCACATAAAAAAAGCCGTGGCAAAGTGTTAGACTGATCCAACCAGTCAACATTAAATAAATGAATAAACACTAGCTACCACTATTGCTTAGCTGTACCTGCAAGTCTGAACAAATAGTAAGTTGAGTATTAACTATCAACAGGTCAAATTTCAAATGACCTTTTAGCAAACTTTAGTTTTATTAGTTAGGTTTATAATCCACAGTAAGTCCAATGGCAGTATGTAAAAATTGAAACATTGGCGCGCAAATGGAAATACAAAGCTGTCAATTTGCACGCTTCTTCGTCATGCAGTGTTTACCATGAAAAGTCCCTTTTGGGGATTCAAAGTCTTAAAAGAGTGTTAACATGCCTAATTACTTTGAATGGATAAAGTTGAAGTCAAAAGAAGGTTTACATTATTGTGCCAAGTGGTGCTGATGTAGAGAAGAAGCCCAATGTTAGCAACCATCCTAAAGGTCAAAGGAAAGGTAACTAAAGGTAATTTTTCTCACATTTGTTCCTATGTAGTTATGAGGAGTTCAACTGAAATGGTTGAGAGTAATGATCAGCTTTTGCATGAATGGAATAAATCAATTGAATGGATAGAGTTTGGACCAGGTTGCAGTCTCACGGAGCGGTAGTAAATCAGCTCGCCAAAATGTAACCTTTAGCTCTTTCTATCTGCAGGCTGCATGACTGCTTTGTTTCAAAATAGAAGATTGAGCAAATTCCAAAAGCAGCAGATGAAGCCATATCGACACAAGATAAGTCTCGTATAATTTTGATTGGTGGAGGAAACTTCTCTGGTGTGAAGATGACCTTGATGCAGCTAAGTGGAATCTCTCCACACCTACATGTTATTTTCAGATGAAATGTGCATTTGTTGAATTTTTGTGTACAAGTGTATTAGGATTTGCTTACCAATAAACTATTTTGTGATTATTTATGTGTATTATAAGTTGTACAGCCAAAGTAAGGTGGGATTTTTAGAAAGTACAACATCATTATAAATTATTTTTGTGCTGTCAGGCTAATGCCCAGCTAATTTCAGGCTCGTTTTCCTGTTCTGAATGATTGTTCTTGTGTGGCTCTTGTCAGGCTCAATTACTGCTCCTGTCTGGCTGAGTGTCAGGCTAATGTCTGGCTCTTGTCAGGCTCCTTTCATGTTGTATATGCTGCCAAGTAACATCAAGAGAATATGCATGTAGTTAGTACTTGTGGGAATGAAGTGCTAACAATAAGCATGTTTGCAAACTTGGTGGAAATTTTTTAGTAGTTTTCCACATTTTGAAGACTTAATTACAGATTTTTAAGTCCAGTTTCAGTCAATTAAATTAAATCTTGTCAAATAATACTTTTATAGTTAGGATAAGATATAAGGTTGAATCCTAATTATTAAGTTATAATTTCCAGAGATGTTTGAATTTGATAGAAGCTCTTGGTCCTGGGTGGAATAATAGACCACAGCCTTACAAATTGTGCCTGAAATCTGTGCGAGAGTAAGTTACAAAAATCACCTTATTTGATTGACTAAATTTCTACATAATTCTGAGTTCAGAATTATGCTTGATTGCAAGCAGGATATGTAAATCTTGCCAAATATATATGCCGGGCAGGATACATGAATCCTGCCAACAACTAAGATTCCAAGTGAGATGCAAATCCTTGCTCGGATCTTAGGTGGGGATGAATGAGCACATCCCAGGTGGGTTAATATTCAACATAAGATCCTGGGTGGGATGTAGACATTCTGCCAAGGATTTCAGTTGGGCGTGAAATTGCAATCGAAATCCGGGTTGGGACGTGTAAATCCTACCTGGGATCCTGAGTGGGATGTGCATTAATCCTGTCAAGAATCTTGGGTGGTATGTGTAAATCCTGCATTTAAGCTAGGATCCTAGGAGGATTATCTTTGATTGGCAGGTGTAAATGGTGGGATCACACCAATCCCGCCAGGGATCCTAGGTGGGATGTGAAAATTCTGCATTTTAGGCGAGATCCCAGGGGGGGTTATCTTTGATTCTCATGTGGGAAATGCAGTTGGGAGTCCACACTGTGTGGTGGGATCTCACCATTCCCACCTGGATCCTAGTTCAACTTTTTACCTAGGTGTCAGCTTTATTTCAAAAGTGAGATCATTGCCATCTCAGCCTAGGATGAAATAGAGGCAGGTACAATCGAAATAAAAGTTAATCAGGCCTGATTGTTACAAACTTCCAGCACAGCAACTAAAAGGTGAATATTTCTGTTTCTAATTACTGTAATTGGGCTTGTTAATTTTCTTATTTGAAGGCCCAGGTTCTAGTACTAACAGTGTTATTGCTTTAATTTCACACTATGCTTATTTAACATGATCTTCAATTATTAGGTGTTGAAGCTATTTGTGCATGTTTGTTTGATCACTGTTAGTTTCAGCAAAAATCACAGGAATTAAAGGTGTACAGACTGTTCATGAAGGCAGCAACTTGCAGTTAACTTGTGAAGCCTCGGGGAGACCAGAACCAAACATCAGCTGGGTGAAACAGATGGCAGGGAACCAAGGAAATACTGGTGTGCAGCAAGAAGGAAAGGTGCTGACCATAACAAAAATCAGCAGGACTGATTCAGGAACATTCAACTGTACAGCTTACAATGGTTTTGGTGAACCAGACAGCCAAGCAGTTCATGTGAATGTTACTTGTGAGTATATAGTGTGCTTTGAAATAATTTTTAACCTTAACCCTTCTACTCCCAGAAGTGATTAACATGTAAGCTAGATCTCCTTATAATATTCACACATTTTCCAGCAGCTGGTAAGTCAGTGTAACTGCAGATTTCGAACAACAGACTATAGATGATGACTGGTGACAATTTTTTCAATCAGATTTTTATAGAATGATCTATGCTGTTCTTTTAATGTGATTATTATTTCTATTTTGATATGCAGATCCAGCCACAATTGCTAATAAATTTCAAACTGAGTATCTCGTTGGTGTACAGCAAAGTGTAACTCTTACCTGTGAAGCAGAAGGAAACCCTAAACCTGTACACTCCTGGATTCCATGTAATACAGAACAAGTTTGTGACAAGAATACTCTTGCTATTTCACAAGTGCTTAACGATGCCAGCTATACTTGCAGGGCAGTCAATGTACATGGACCTGATATGAAAACAGCCATTGTTTGTGAGTTACTTTGCAGTTCTGCATATAATTATTAAAGCTAGTAAAAGGTTAGAAAAGACAAAATGGTTATTAATACGCATTTGCCTAAAAGCTGTCTTATGCCTTATGATGAATAAGTCATGCACAAAAGAATTTTTGCATAAGGCTTAGGGTGAGCTGAAAGAGGAACTCAGACCAGCACTGCAGAAGGGAACAAGTGTGGGAAAATTTGGAGATGTCTTTGAGTCAGTCAACTAATGAGGAGAGAGATTTTGCATGCAGCATATATTAATGGTCTTGAGAATTTTCCTTGGGGCTTCTATAGCCAATTGAATGGCTGCCATGGGAGTTTGCCCATCGACTGATTTCTAAGATTTGCGGCAGCTTTTATGCAAATGAGAATAATCTTTGTTTTTAGTCTCACTATCTGCTAATTCCTTTGAATAATGACATGTACATTATATGAATAATTATGTACATGTAAAAACACAAAGAAAGCAGTGCAGCAATTCAAACTTCAGGTGCATTGCCAATGTGAGTGAACAAGAGTAGGTAAAACATCAGTGCTATGTAGTGACAGGGCCTCTAACAGAAACTGAGGTAAAAGTGACAAAACTGATTGTGGGGAATTTTAGGGGATAATGTTGTGGTTGTTTTCATTCTTCCATCTTCTATAGTCATTGCAAGCTGAGATTTGGAACCGACATGATTTTACATCAATTTTAGATTGCTTTCAAATGTAAGAGAAGGAAATTGACTTCTTATTAGCTCTCTGTATCAATCCCTTATTTACCATAAGTTCGAGCCAAAGGTCGACTGTTTGATATACTTCATGAGTGACTGTGGCTCCCTAAATTGTTTTTCGTCATGATTAATTGGAAAAGAGGGTTCACAACGTCAACCAGAATGTTGGTGTTAAAAAAGGACATTATTTTAATTCATTTTGTAGTGCATGCAAGGTCAATGTTGCAGACAGAGTGTTCAATATGCTATTTTCCTTTCCCAAAGAATCACTTCAGTCTAATTAGTGCCCATGAGGATCATATGGGCAATGGCAAAAAGATTTGTTTTAACTAGCCATTTCTGGAGAGCAAGGGACTCCTGGATTGTCTCTGAGGTTGCAATTAACCTACGAGTAATTCTAAAGTTTTCCACAAGTTGAGCTACAGATTTTTGGCAAATGTGAATAATTGGCATGTTAATAGCATTGTACATGAGTAAAGGTAGATTGATTTTAGAGCCATTATCCCACTTCACAGATATTGCAGGAAATGTGATTAACATAACCATTGTCATCACAAGTGAAAACTGCACGGACGAAAAATACAACACTGAATCCTTGCTACTAAGGAAATTGGAAGAAGAGGTATTGTTCGAAATTTTGCGTACTTAATGAAGCATTCAATATCTTTAAATTTATTATTTAGTTCAGGGTCAGAGACTGATGTGCTGACTGTATGATTAAGGATTAAAAAGAAACTCGGCCTCTGGAAAATGTGTAGAGAATATTAATTTTTGTTTAATTCTACAGTGTTCCTTAAATTTATTGATTGCACCCAGTCTCTTAGAGTTGTGTCAATTTTTAAGCTTAAAAAGCTTTTCCTATTCTTCTTATTATTCAGTGTTTACTCGTGCTTTGTATTTAGGGGGATAATTGGTCTGGTGTTTTTTAGCCACAAATAAAATACGAAGCAAGTGACGAGAAGAAGAACGATTTTTTATTGAAGTCGCACTTTTAAAGAAATGAACTGATTAATACTATCATAGACTTATTCTCACTTTTATTCTTAGCAAAACAACCATATTCAATTTTATTTGAGGTAGAACATAATATTTGATGTCATCATCATTTGTACTTATGTACATCTACATGCATAATACATATGCCACATGTACACTACCAAATTTAAACAAACAACTAAAATGTTCACTTGCAGCTCAAAAGGGCATTTGCTGGTAAACTTGATTATGAAAGAGTGCAGTCAATGAGTGTAAGGTATGTAACTTATTAGGTTCAAGATGATTTCAAATTGCTCCCTTTTTTATCGTTTATTTCGTTGTTGTTTGTTTTCCACTTCATGTCAATATAACTCTCAGTTGTTGTCGGTTCCAAGGTGTGGAAGTATAATAGTTGACCTTGCACTGAAATTCAACTCCACTACAAAGGAACAAGATGTTATCATAACACTTAATGACGCGGTCAAAAATGGCAAGTTGGGAGACTTCGGTGTTGGTGCTTTAAAAGGAAAGAGGCCTGATGTGGAACCATCCAGTGGAGGTGCCTCTGATGTGGAATCATCAGGTGGAGTTGCCACATCACCACCTGAGGGGCCCTCTGGTGGTAAGTCTTCATAATACTTCATTTAAAAGTTTTGCAAGTTGATGAATGAATGCCCTTGCCCTGTGCTTGGTTGGAAGCATTTTTTTGGCGAGAAAAATGTTTTTGAAAGTTACTATTGCAGTGTGGCATGAGATGGTAAACTATCGATTTGAGGTTTGTACTTTCATTTGGACCCAGTTGTCCACTGCAACCTTTACCAAGGCTGCAAATAACTAACGGGCAGTCGCCGGTCACGTTGTCCGGTCAAACTTTCTTTTGCTCGGACACTTTTTAACAGTCCGAACTCTTGCGATAGTGAACCTAGATTGCACAGTAATCCCTTTACAACTAAAAAACAANCTATTTAGCTATAAACTACAAGACCGCCATTATTTTATGTTGCACACTTGAAGACTGAACTTGATGTGCATAAAACCGACTTTAATTTACTTTGGTTGTATAAGATAAATTTTGCTTTTTGATGTCGATTATTCATGACTATTTCTTGTTTTGTGTCGCTTTGTTATGTTTAAGTGTTTTGCTTTGTTTTCTTTTTTTTTCCACTACAGAGATGGCAATGAGCAGAAGGTGAGATTTTTGTATCGAAATGTTGCTGTTTACTTGCGTTATTTCTTTAGGGCTCGATCTTTTTAACAATTTAAACACCCATTTTGTTTTCATATAATTTTTTCTGATCGCTCCAAAAATGATAGATCGTGTAGAACACTTGAGGGGCACGCTTGAGACATGGGATGTAATGGTTGTCACTTTTGAAATAATCATTATCCTAATGATCTGTAGAAAAAATAACGATAAAGCTGCGATATAACGCGCGCTGTCATTGGTTGAAAGAGCGTGTTATATCAGAGTACAAAAAACGGAGCTGAGCTGAAGCCGTCACACCATCTGCCAAATTGTACAATATCCGGCCAATTTGTAAGATGTCCGACCACTTCCCGGACTTTTCTCTAGCTTTTTTTTTCCTCAATTGAAAGTGGAATTTTGGAACAAGTAGCAATAGAAGAACGAAACAAAGGTTTGTAAACATGCTAAGCACTCTATTGACGTAATACAACGTGAGCCGGCAAAGACGCAAATTACCAAAGAGAAAAAGAAATTGACTGTCCGAGGTTTGTTTGTAAGTTTACGTACGGTAATAAAACTCAAACGCAACTAGCACTCGTATAGTATTTATAGTTTCGTGTTCAAAAACAAATCAGGACAAAACAGGTATGATGAAAACTATAACCAAACTGGCATAACGGTCAAAATTTAACCAAATCCCAATGGCATCAGAGCGACTGCGATTATCCTGAGGTTAATCGCAACTAGCTCATCATGACGATCTCCGGTCATCGCAGTGAAGAGAGCCTCTGAAATTATATTGTCCTGTCTTCGAGTGAACAACTAAGAGCTTGCTCTAAAATCCTTTCCGATGTTTTGATTTGAAAGCCACATCAGTCAAAGCAGCTGATTATGATTCACCCCGAGCAATCTTCATGTTCCTGTAAATTCGGCTGTCGTTCATTCATTAAACATGCGCTTTCAACAGTTTGTTTCCCGATTGTCATTTGAAAAAACTTCTGTATTATGAGGCACATCTTAGCAGCATTTCACTGAAAATTTCGCTTTCAGATTCTGTTTTAAGCCTCAAAAAATACTAGCGAAAGTTTTGAATTCGACCTGCCGGACCATTGAAGGTAGTGATTTATTGATGGTTTGTGAGTTTTGATGGTTTGAAGTTTTCGACAGCATTGGTCTATTTAACCAATCAGATTATTTGAACTATTTTAAAAAAAGATACTGATCAGCTTATTTTGGCATGTTTCATGAGTATAAAACATGCTGACAACACTTCTGTTCGCCTCGAAAATTATTATTCGATTTGAGAATTGAAAGTAATAAGTAGAGAATTGGACGGATTCTTTATAATACAACAAACAAAGAAGCCTGGACTGCGTTCCGTTTTGTTGTAAAGCACTAAGGAAGCTGCAAGTCTACTCTACTCATTTACAGTAAATGGTTTGAACCCGGGGTTACATGCTTTAGTGTAGTTTGATTGTCCGAGTGAGTGTAGGTCTGACAACGACTGTTGTCGGTATTGGTGACTGACGTCTCGAAGTCATTATCAGAGTCAGTAAAATAATTGTTGTAGTCAGTCGAATGTTCTAAGTCCAGTCCGAACCTCACTGATGACTGGGACTCTGTGCAATACCTAACCTACCGTACTAACCACTTTCAACGACTGACTCTGGAAAGCTGGTATAGTAACTTAAAACAGACTCCCTTCAACAGGTGCCATCTTCTGCCGGCACCATGCAAACGACTCATTTCGAGTGGTTCTTTAAGCATATATATTCCCTGTTTTCGGTATTCTAGCCGTTCTCAATTCATGCGAGTTTCTTTCATTACGATGTTTTAGAAAAGATAAAAAGCCGCAGTAGTTTTTGAGTAGTAAACTAAGAGATTTTTGCTTTGTTGCATGCTTTTATTGTATACCTCTATGGTTGGTACCTTGTTGTTCATTTGTAGTGAAATTTTTTGGTAACGATAAGTGTTAATGGTCTTTCTGGAAAATTTGTTTCCCATGGTAGTTGGTAGCTGAGTCTGTGCTCGTAATTTTAATTTCCTTTCATTCGATAGTTTCCACACCAACCTTGCATAGATAAGCAGAACTATTAATTACTTGTCCACTTTTATTTCCTAAGCTACGCTACTACAAGTAAGGCATGTATATTTTCTCTACCAGAACTATGAATTCTCAGCTAAGTTTCTAAGCAGCCTTCGTTTATATTCAAAGAGACCTTTTCCGCTTCTTTTGTTATACTTTTCAAACATGGTCAATTTAGACAGCAATAGCATCTCACACCAGCTCAATACTTAAGTAAGCACTTTGTAAAGGTTTTCCAATAACTAAACTGAAGAGCCTAGAGGTCATGTCAGTTATTAGCCTGAATTAGAATAAAGTCTACTGTGGAACCAAAACGTTGTTTCATCCTTGACGTCCGTATAAGCTCGCTAGAAGTAGATCTCCGTGTGCCAGGAAAACATGACGAGTTTCCGTTCTCGCAAGCCGAGTGGTCTCTACCGAGTTATTTTCCCCCGTTTTGTACCTTTCACGCGAAGTCCAGTTTCCCACGCCAAAAACTATCGTCTCACATTACATACGAACCGAACGGAACAGGTTCTCGTCAGTCACCACCACCGACAACAGTCCTTCTAAGGACTGCACTCACCTGGACGATCAGACCACACTATCATCTGCTTACAGATGTCTGACAGTAGCCGTGCCTACATCCGGTTTCAAGTCGCTTTTTCAAACCTGGAAAGGTTTTCTGTTAGTTTGGAATTTTCAGGCAGAGGGGATTGGTTTTGTTTTTTATTATATTTCTGTTTTTNTCAAATCTACGCAATAAATATTCCAATGCTTTCTCACAAGGCGTGGTAACTGTTGCAGAAATTCAAATTTCTGAGATATTCATGAACTTGGTAAAATTCATCATGTGAGATACGCGTGGGATTCGATAGTCAGAAGTAAGAAGCACTTATTTGGGGGGAGGGGGTGGGGCGGTGCACGGTTTTTTCTCCCCACATTTAAGTATCGACTTTCTTCGGTCCGCATAGTTCTCGTGTAAAGATTAATTTGTCAGCTATCCATCCCCACGCTTTACTTACACACCCAGACACTAATTTGACATGACAAGTAAAGACAAACGGGACTTTCTGAAACTCCACGACTGTTTACTGGCCCTCCAAATACGCAAATCTGTCTGAGCCTCAGAAGTTTTTATCCTATGACAATCGCCCATGCATAGTACCACAGCATTTGTGGATATCAGTTTCGGTCTCTACTCTAAATTTTTGGGTCTCAAATTCATTAATTCCCGTGAGCCTTTATTTCTCGACTTTAAAAGTTGTGGATCTCGAAACTAATACGCTTCTTTGAATTGATGTGGATCGTCTAGTGCATTCACGAGTTGTGCGATTCGTACTATCCTTACTGAACAGAAGGGGAATTAATATAACCAAACTAGTGCAACTTAAAATTCATACAAATCATAATTGTGTCTGAGCAACTGCGGTCATGCTGAGGTCCATCACGACTAGCTCATCAAGGCCATCTCCAATCATCGCAAAGAAGCAAGCCACGGACATTATAACGTACACCCTTTGAGTGGACAACTAAGAGCTTGCTCTGATGTCCTGTAATGCGTTGAGTGGAAGGCCACATCAGTCACTTTTACGGCGCTGTCATCGCGAGCAATCTTCAGTGTTTCTGTGAATCCAGCTAGCTGTTATTTATTTGTAAAAGACACGTCTTGAGCACTTTGTTTTCGAATTTTCATGTGCAAAATTAAAAAACTTACGTGTTTTATAAGCCACGATCTGGCCGTGCTTCACCGAAAAATTCACCGAACACTGAGACTAAAACACTTCAGAAAAGTGTTAACTTTCACTTGCCAAACTACAAATGTACTTCTGTTCTGGAGAAAGGGAGGGAAACACGAGAACTACGAGACGAAGTCAGATGTTTCTCCCGACATTTCTTTCGTTCTCTACAACAGAACAGAACGCAGTCAAGGCCTCTCTATTTATTAATTCAGTGATAGCGAGCGTATTCAGAGTTAACGTTATTTTATCAAAGCTTCTGTTTTTGTTTCAAGGGACTCCATCAGTCGTTTGATGTACGGAGCACCCATGGACTCGATATTGATAACTAAAAGAGATAAATGTATGTTGTGCCAGAAGATATTGGTTTTGAAAGGAAAGTTGTTCGTCGCTCTCGTCTGATTACAGCGAATTTGCTATTGGAACCTATCTTGGTAGTCGAATGTCGAAGTGTTGTAAGAATTATAGAACGTTGCAGATTTTACACGTTTAAAGGAAGGCGACCCATGGACGGCAACGTTTTGAAGAACCAGGTTTTACTTAACACACCATATCATCGCTCAAGCAGTGTTCAAATTTGCTGATTGTGGGCGTTTGTAGGAAAATGTGTATCGAACTACGAAAATGATAACGAGGGGTCAGGCGGTGCTTTCATTAAAACTCACTCGAAATATGATTTTGTGGGGTGAGTCTATTTGGACACTCCATC